ACATGATAAAAACACTAGATATCAAATTTTCACGCTTTAACTGTCAACAGAATTACTGGCATTTCTGTTTGCCAAATTTTTAATATTATGCTTAAATCTTAGATGTCAACAGAATAACCAATATAAAACTATTTTTGGTAAAATAATTTGATTAAAATCTTGTGGTGCTTTTTCAATTATTTCTGCAATAAAAGAATTTTGTAGACAAAATAATATTCATTTACAAAATTGATTATGTTTACTTCTGATGGGATAGCTGTTCTGCTAGATCAGATGAATGGAATAGCAGTAGAACTAAAAGAAAATATACCACATTTGGTTCAACAGCATACCTATCGTGAAGATTTAGTCATTTGCAATCCATTAACAGAAGTAAAATTAGTGAGAGATATTGAAACTGATGAGAATGATATTTACCATATTGTCTAGATCTGCAAGAATAAATTTCAAGATAGTCTTACTGTTTTAGAAAATGAAGCCATTACTTTTAAACCATTAAATGATGTTTGTTATATAGACATTTTTTGCTTTGAAAGCAATATGAAAATTATGAAGCATTAATTAAATATTTTAAAGAAGATGAGGCAAGTAATTTTATTTCAAAATAATGTTTACAGAAATTGGAAAATACTAAACTTCATATAAATTTACATATTATGAATGATATTTTTGAAGAATTTGCAGCTGTGTGTAAAAGTTTTCAGTGGCACAATCTAACACCACCTTTTCACTTTGACATTTCACTTTCTTTGTGGTAAAATAATAGGGAGACTGGAAAGTAATGTCGTTTCTGCGCATGTCAACAACAACATGCTAAGGGCAGAAGTGGAAGCAAATCCATGTCAAACACTCTTAACCAACCTTAGTCGACCATCCAAGAACATTTAAAGCAGAATGGAAAAATAAGCAAAGCAGGTGTTTGAGTCCTCCATAATCTGTCCGAAAAGAACAAAGCCAACCTATCCATCACATGCAATGTATTGCTTCCAACGGCTCCACACAGAACCGCTGTTTGATCGCTTGATTAGTGGAGACAAAAAATTAAGTCCTATATGATAATCCAAAACTCAAAAAGGCAGTTTTTAATAGGATTACAAAGGGTTTACATCCCGAAAAAGGCGCTTCTAGGTGTTTGATTGGAGTATTCGCGGAATTGTTCATTTTGAATTGCTAAAACCTAAAAAAACCTGTTTAATGTAGACCTATATTGTGAACAATTGGATCTAGTGAACCAAACTTTAACCGAAAAATATCTGGCGATTGTCAACGGAAAAGGCGTCATTCTGCAACACCGGACAATGCAAGACCGCACTGAGCAAGACGAACACTGGGAAAAATATAATGAATTGGGATGGGAGGTACTGCCTCACCCACCATATTCGTCCAGATATTCGCACCCTCGAGATTTCCATTTATTCCGATCCTTACAACATTTTCTTAGTGACAAAAAATTTGAAAATTTGGATGATGTCCAAAATGCCATCTCGAGATATTTTACTCAAAAACCAATTGATTTTTATCGGTCTGGGATTGAAATCGGCACACTAGATGGCAAAAGGTTGCTGATAATGAGGGTGATTATATTATTGTTTAAAAATAAAAACTTGTTACAAATTTATTCATTTGAATTTAATGTAAGAAAGCGACATTACTTTCCGGTCCCCCTATTAAATAAACTTAATAACCATAGCAGTGTTACTTAGAGTAATGCTACAAAAATTCTCCATAAAAAAAAAAAAAAAAAAAAAAAAAAAAACACCATTGCAATTGTTATTTTTTGTATATTAACTTTGCTCTTATTTAGAAGAAAGATTTCCTGAAAATTGAGTACAAGAATGGGCCTCATTTGATTTGACAGCATTAAGTGCATGTGATTTCAATTACAGCACAAAACTAGTCGACAAATTATGTATAATATACTATAACATATTAATAGATAAAACATCTGTACTAAAACAAAGTAATTGCTTGAAATTTTCCATGTATGAAAAAATTAAGTGTAAACTGATAACAAATTTTTCAGATATGCTAATGTTTTCATTACAGAATGACTTTTGAATTTTCAAAATTAATGGATATTGGCGGAACATTTTTGGCATCTAGTGTTAACTGTGAATGAAATTTCAGCTAAAAGAATTTAATAAAAACAAAGAAATATTTAAAAGAAAATCACTTAGACATGTTAATTTGATTAAATCATATTTAACCCTTTTAGGACGGGCGTCCCATATAGGCATTCCCTAAGAACGTCTCTTACAGCTGGGCGTCCCATCCACACATCGCTAGAGATTGCAGAGGACGGGTGATGCGTATACACATTTTAAGCTGGAACGTTTTTCTGAAGGCCACTAGATGGCATCCTATGTCCATTACTTTTGAAATGAACACAGTTTTAAATTCCTGACCTTGAGTTTGATATATTCTGCTTGACTTTGGTATTTTACTCATCAGCTCTTGCGAGGGTGGGGGTGGGGGGGAGGGAAAGTGTAAACAGAGGTGAAGTGAGCTCTTTAAATCACTGCATGCTAATGAAAACATTCACATGTCTGATTTATATCCAATTCCTTTTTTTATTCTATTTTTTCCCTTTACTATGTACAGGCTTTTAGAGTTAGTATGTGGAGTATTGTTACGTTATGCATTGCCCTTCAGATATATTTCTGGTTCTTCTCTTTTTATTTCGGAAAGCTTCACCTCCAGTTTATTATGGGGAAAAGGCGCTATTTATCAGAGGAAGAATACCCTCTTATGGTCAATGAACCATTTATTAACGCAGATGACAGTGATGATTCATTTTCTAAAGAGTCAGAAAGTGATACTTTTTCTAAGAGTTAGAAAGTGATACTTTTCCATGCTTCGAGATTTACCACAGTCTTCATTTTACATTTTGTTACTTCTTACTGTAAATAGTCTTTATTGTGTTGCTTTATTAATTTTAAACTTTATTGATGGATTTTATCAATTAAAATGGTACTTACGTATTATCTCAACCAGGTTGGCACGATTTGTAAGTTTGAGTAAAAAAGTATGAATAGAAAGAAAATGTACATTTATTAATTACAGATAATTTTTATATACAGTTGTGTTTTTATATTATTTTTTGTTTTAAATATAAAATAGCAATTAAACCCTTTCGGTTTCGAATTTGAATAAGTTGCAGAATTATTTTTTCGGCGGAAATCTTTTGGCTATTGCTTTTAGCACTGATTGAAAACCGTCTTCGCCATTAACAGCTTAAGTTTGGCGCCATATAAATTCGATAAGGTATGAGTCAAGATGATGACGGGCTGTTCCTCTCTGTTTTTTGTTGCGCCATTTGGCTGAGCCCCACATGCGCTCTACATGTTGTGTGTGAACGCCCGTGTTGGGATCCACAAAGTTATATTTGTGAACAGTTCCATGCAAAAATCCAGCATTTTTGAACTCACTTGTATTGTATCCTTTCCAGCAATCCGAATAAATGATGCTTCCTTCCTTGATATTTTCGCAAATTTTTTCCATGAGGGTAACGGCGCTTCTGTTAGGTACAGTAACCAAAAAAAGTGTCTTTCTTTTCTCAGCAAATTCCGGCGAAAACCCATTGCTGTGGTAGTACACGCCCAGTGTTATTGTTTCTTTTTACAAATAAACTTTCGTCTAAATACGTAGGGTTGCTGTAAGTAGGGTCGCCAAATTTGGCGATTTATGCGAATTTTGGCCTGGTTGCGTTAATACGTAAGTACCATTAAAACTTTGAAATAATTCGAATAGCGCTTCTGAAAATTATTTTACAAGATAAGCAATTTTTTAAGTATATTTTCATGTAAAATGAAGAAAAAAAATTTATTAAGTGCTAATTTTAACATATATAAGAGCTCAAGTAATAATCTGAAATGATACAAAAAATTACGATGCTAGAAACGAAACTATTTTTTTTTTTTTATATATATATAATTAGGCTTAGCGATACTAAACCTCCGTCCTGTACGGTGACTGCCTTCGATTCCCTTCCGTCCCGCACGAGCGTCTTAAACAAAGGTGCACCGTCGCGGAACGGTTAAGTAGTAGAAACAGTATAAATTTGGACTTGCGTATATGCTGTATTTTTAAATTTTAAAGATAAAAAAGATTTACTGTACCATAGCATTTAATGCATTATTAAAATATTTTATCAAAGATCAACAATTTAATATAATGTAGCATTTCATATATTACTGTCATAGCATATAAACGTAACTTCTAATTTATGTATCTTTTAATAAATCTGAACATTATTGCTGTTACCAAGTGAGATGTGTTAAGATGTATTTTAGTAAATAGTTTTATTATTTTTGCATGGATACTGATGTATTGATTTTGTATAGTTAATAAATAATTTTGTATAGATTTTAATATGCTTTTTTTTAAATAATGAGTTGTATTAAAATAGAATTAATTTAAACATAAAAGAGTAAAAAATAAAAGCTGCAGAAGCAATTCTTATTGTAAAAAAAGTTGTACAGATCAAAGTAAATTTCTACATCAGTACTAAGAAATTAAAGAGAACATTGCTTGTAGGCATCTTTCTGAAATATTTTTTATACATGATATTTATTATTTTTTTTTTCATGTTAATATATAGAAATATTTAATTTACTCTTGTCACATGAAGATAAAAACTCACTTTATATTTATTAACAGAGAGATGTGTGAGTTAATTGGGGTTACAAAAATACTGTCAGCTATTAAGTTATAATCAACTATTTAAGTTATAGAACCTTTTAAATAATGTTTAACTAATTAATCTGTAGTATTTAAAAAGTATGGGCTGGAAAAGCATCAGAGTGCTCTTCTTTTTTTTTCTTTCACTTTGGTTGTTAGTGTTCTCGTAATGATGCAACTAGTTTCTTAAATAACGCTAAGTTATACATATTACTATGCAAAATTGTAAAAAAAAAAAAAAAAAAAAAAAAAAAAAAAAAGACACAATTGATAAAACACTTTTTATTTATGTTTAAATGTATGTTTTCCTTCCCCTATAGGAAACATATCCTTCATTTCATTATACTTCTCTATTATATCTCGCTGACTACGGAGCCGATTTTACAGGAGGACGTTTTATATTTGTTGATGAAGTTAAAAATATGACTATAGAACCTCGAGTGGGTGAGTCATGTTTTTATTTTATAAAACTTCACATATATAAAATTAAAAAAATTAAATAATTAGAAAATCACTATTCATAATTAAATTCCTTTAAAATAATATGGCATTTGATATCTTCTTTTAAACACAAATTTTTGCAGAATAAGTAAATTTATGGCAGTGTTAAGGTACAAGAATTAAATTGTTGAAGAAATACTAACTATCATATGAAATGAATCTGAGTTGAAATTTTTATGTTTATTTTTAAGTGCAACTTCAGTTAATAGCAACACAATTTACTGCTTCTTTTGTACTCATTAAAAACTGTTTGTAGTCATATATTAATTAGACAATAGAATGAAATTTTCCTTTACTTAGGTATAAAATCCACCACATATGGCCAGTCTTAGTGATGATACATGATAATTTCTTTTCAATACATGTTATAACTGAATATGTAAGGTCTGTAAGAATATAATATAAAACAATACATCAAATACTTCACCTTCTTCAAACATTTTGAAAAGAAAAAATATCTGTTGATGCTTGTCTTCTAAATGGCATTTATGTTTAATAATTTATTATGTTCTATTTTAGTAACACAGAAAATAATAGTCCAAACTTTGTGTGGATTGCTTTTCTTCCATCTTAATTATTACTTCTTGCTAACATATACATTGGTGAAGGAGGTGATGTTTTTTGGTTCAAGATTTCAGTAATGAGTTTTCTGTGAAAAAGTACAAGTTGGGGTCCCCACAACACATTTTTACAATTTTTAGAATGGCCTCTTTATCTGTATATAAGTGTGTGATGATTTTTTGTCCATAATAACTTATATGAAACTTTGTAAAATTTCCATTTAACTAAGCAACTAAATAAAAGTGGTACTCTACAGGAAGACCACTACAGGACAACCAGAAATGATCCTTTACCTGAAGCCCATAATAGTTTTTAATGAAAAATTGAGTTAAAATATAATCCAAAGCCTTTTATATAAATGGAAACAACATACAATATATGGACAAGAAACAATAAATGGGAACAACATACAATATACATATAAAGTCCATAAAATATAATACAGACTTTAATGATTCTGGATTTTCCAGCTTAGTTCAAATCTAGTAAGATGACATGTAGAAATTATAAAATTTAAAATATGAAATAGAAGTTTATGAAATAACAAAGCATTTATGACTTATAAGGAATCAAAAAAAAAAAAAAAAAAAAAAAAAAGCTCAGTATGTATTTGTTAACTGTATTAAACAATTATGTTAGGGTACATTGTTTAAGTAGCTTCATTTTTTGTGCTAATACTTTGTCTGATTCTATAGTTGATAATTTCTTGTTCAGTTACAATGTTCCATCATTCAAGTGTGTCAAGAATTCCCATTAAATTGTCAATCAAAATTTTTCCTTCTCGACAACCTCTTTGTCACTTCCTTCACTATCAGTAGCAATAATTTCTAGATTTAGAAGCATACTATAGGTTTTGTCATTTATTAGTTGATTGACGATTGGCACATTGTCATTGCAATGAAAAACTTCTTATTATATCATTTTTATTTATTGCCAGTTCTTCACAAATTCCATTTATTGGAAAATTCCACCTTTTGTTTCTGATATCCCTACCCTGATATATGGTAACTGGCCATAAATTATGCTAGGCATTTTTTTAAAATAGCAGACACATCCTCCCATGGCTTTGCAATGCTCCACACAGCGTATTTTATGTTAAAATATTTCCAGAATTCTTGAATGGTCTTGCCACTGTTCAGAAAGTTTAGCAAAGATTTTAAAAAGGCATTTGCATTTCAATGTGCATATAATGCAGTGATCATCCATAGATGAATGTACAAACTGAAGGAAACAATAAGCCTCTGACAGTCTCGTAGAACACGGCATTTTCTAGGAACCTATCTGCCATGTTATACGAGGGTTACCTATACTTCTGATTACAGAAATGAAGAAAATATTCATGTTTTGGCATTACCAAATTTAAAGAAAAGGATTTTTTGACAAATAACAAAATCTAAATTTTAATGTGATTTCCCAGTTTCTGTACATACATCTGAGAAAGTTTTATACTCATTATGGAAAAATAAAATTATAAGAAGTTTGACTCCCATACAACAAAAATTGACCATATTATTTAATTTCAAAATTTACAATTTTTTATGCTATTTTCAAATTGCCTTGAAATATCGGTTAATTAAATTAGATTAATTCAAGGAAATAAGTTTAAATGAAGTGCAGGAAAATGTATCTATAATAGGCTATACAAGGAAGTCATGATGTCCATATCAGATTTTTTCATATCATGAAAACTTACACCTATATGTTTCTGCAACATTTGAACATGCTAAAATTGTTAAAATATCACTTTGGAATCTTTGACAGTAGTTGGAACCTTTTCTGCAGAAGTTGCCAAGATATTTTGGCATGCATATTGCCAAAAAAGACCAGTTTCATCAGCACTGTGCATTTGTTCTGGAAATAAATTTTCACTATTTTTTGCTTAAAAGCTTTTTCACCTGAAATTTTTAAATTGCCTTGCACCATAGTGTTTTTAAGTTTGGTTAATCAATTTGTTAATTATATTCACTCAGTTTTGAATTCCATTTCCTCATGAAATATTTTGGCTTTAGCCATTAGCATTGGACCCATTAATGGCATGCCCTGACTGCAATACTCTCTCACTTATTCAATCACTACTTTGTCATTATCATTGCTTTAAGTATAACAAATTATGTTTCTGTTATGCATTGTGAGTGAAGTCAGAATACACAAAAATTTCCTTTTTCTGTTTTTTATGTTATATACTCTTGACTTGACTCTAATGCCATAACTCCTTGCATAATTTTGAGACAGATATTAGTATTTTATTTATTTTTTGCTTCATAAGACATCAAAACTTCTATTTGCTCTATACATCCAGCTGCAGCTTCAGAATTAGGAACTTTTTTCAATTCAAACTTAAATTTTCATAAGATTACTGTAATAAAAAACCATAAACTGCAAAAATGATAAGCTGGATCAAAATGTAAACTTAATATTAGCTGTATTAACTAAAATAAATTCCTTGGAATTTTTTTTTTTTTTTTTTTTTTTTTAAGCATGGTTAATGCAGTCAAAAGTCTTTAATCCAGAATCGTCGGTACTTCGATTCCGGATTATCGTTTTTTCCGGAGTATAGATCATCAGTTTAAATCTGGTAAGATGGCATGCAGAAATTATAAATTAAAAATATGAAACGGTAATTTATGAAATAAAGAGCAATTATGATCTAAAAGGGTATCAAAATTAAAAAAAAAAAAAGCTTAATATTTATTTGTTTTACTTTATTAAACATTTCTTTCAAATGCACACATGCATAAAGCATACATTACGCATAGTCGAAATTAGAAAATTGCAACCAGAAAACTATTTGATATGTATTCATGATATTCATAATGGCGAGGAATTTGATTTAAATCATATCAAAGACGAAGTACATTGAGTTGAAATTCTACATTTAGTAAGGAATTATAAGCCGAATAAAATAAAAACATCTGCCCTGAAGATAAGGGTAGTGCTGACAGATCAACTTGCAGTTCATTGCGCGGCGCGACGTCCCCCCCCCACCCGTAGAGCAACGTGAAATTGATAACCAGATTTCGGAATGGTTAAAGAAACAAAGGATGCCTTTCCTTTCGAAAGATTCCACTTTTTGTTGATGGACCTCGAAACATGCTTCGCTTTTGTAAATTTGCTTTAAATTCTAATTGAAAGTTCAAGCTTACTTTTATAAAATTTCTCTAACAGTCTGCAAAAAGTAATAAGCCGGTTCCAATTCAAAGATTAAGGGACGATGCAATCTGCGACATTAACTGAAATAGATAATTAGATAGTTTTAGCTTTGCTTATACCGGCCGTTATACATTAGACGTGCATGCATAAACGCATATGTGCATGTGTAAAGGTATTTTGCACATGCATGAACGCATATGCGCATGCGTTGCGTCTACGCATGCGCAGAAAGTTTGTAGCTTTGAGGTCCGGATTATAGACGTCCGGATTAAAGACTTTTGACTGTACTTAGCTAGCATTTTCTATACATTATTGGCAACTAAAGAAATGTTGTTCTGCTAAATTTTGTTGTGCTTCTATCATGTGCTGTGATAGTTAAGTCTGAGTGTTATTAGTGTATTTATTAGACTTGCACATATTTCCCACACATGCTTAAAGCATATTTGAGTCTCAAATAAATACATTCCCAAATATATACTTAAGGCTTATCTAATGCTGGCATTAGACATTTTGCTGCAGTCTCTGCATGTCCTAAAGATTTGCTGCCAAGTGCCTTCCTAAATTCTAAAATGTTTACCTAACCTAAATTCTGCTACACTGATTCTAGGCTTATCTGAATAACAAATGTTATTTGTTATTCAGATAAGATAAGATTATTGTGATGAATTCACTAAATGCCAGGCAGAAAGGGCACTAGAGCCAAATCATTGATCATACAGATTTATGTTAATAAATGTTTATTTCTTCAGCATGAAAGTGGTTTATTTAGTGTTTAATTAAAATTAAGAATCAGGACTCTCTACTTGAGTTATGAAAAAATATGAAATGTGCATGCAATAAAGAATACAGGAAAAGAAAATTCGTTAAATTCTAAGGGAAATTGTAATAAAAACATTCTAAGGCAAGAAAGTGCTGCTGGTCCAGATTTTGAGGTCATTCCACACATTGGTCATCAAGATTTTGGTCTTTGTATCGTATTAGATTTTAACTAAAGTTGATCCTTTACTTCTGGTTATAGTCAATAATTCAAATGCATTAGGGTGGATCACGGGGATCCAACAGCTATAGTGTCACTAAGGAGATGAGCAACCAAATGAAACCTAACACTCAATCTCTGTAATCAGAGCGGGCTGAATGTCACTAAGATGACGAGCCACTAATTGAAACCTTACTGAAGCGCATGGGTCCACCATTGCAGACCAAGAATGCTCGATCTTCCTTCCCCAGAAGCA